TCCCGGCAACCTCAGTTCAGCGTGAAAATCTGCTCCGCGCCCGAACACTCCTTAATGTTCTTCATCGTCCTCGTTGTTCTTCCTTCCATTACCGTCTCAATCGCTTCCACATCTATCTCCACCGTTCCTCTGACTTTCGTCCTTTCTTCCATCTTTCTTTCCTTCTGCGGTATCTGAAATAAATTATCGAATATCTTATGTTTATCTCCTCTGCTTATCGCCTATGTATTCTCCTGCATTCTTCTCCTCCTCTATTTTACCATACCCTTATAGCCAATCCTTACCTTTGACACTATTCGCAATCACTTTTCTCTATATTACAGCCTTCTTTCTTTTGTCGTACTTTTCGTTACGCAGCTCGTTTTTACAGTCGCCACGTGCGTCTCTTACCTGTTCCCCTTCTTACTTTCTATCCCTTCTATCGAACTCCCGTTTTTGCCACCTGTCCGTTGCACGCGTTGCGGCGACATCGGTCTGTTCTGCCGCCTTCTATCTCTTGCTTTTGCCGTCCGTCCGTCGCACACGTTGCGGTGATACTGGTCTGTTCTGCAGTTATCACCTCCGTTGCCACTTCCTCTTCCCCAGGTTTCCCTCCTCTCCTCTCCTTCTCCGTATCTTCTCCCTCTCTACCTCTCTTCGCCTCTTTATTTTTTCCGCCATTCACTCCTCTCTTCCAACATTCCTTTGTTTTCATTTCATATCAACTCTTTGTTGTCCACCCACATTTTCTGGTAACCAATTGTTGTTTTCTTTCCTGCCTCTTTTTCTTCTTTTGCTCTCCTTATTTCCTTCTGTATCCGTCTTTCCATTTTGGTGAGGTCGTCATCCAAAAAGCTGTCATTTTTTCCCTAACTCCCTCCTCGTTCTCATTATCTCCCTTTTGACCTTCCAGTTCCTGCATTTAGCATTATCATTTTATTATTCCCGTGTCCTATTTCCTGCGCTTCCTCGATGACTACTTCTGTTTTATTTATTTCTCCTATCATCTTCTCAATCCTCTCCTTCTTTTCTGTCTCTTTTCCTCCCGTCGCCTCCTTCACAATTATATTGTTTCTCCTTCTTTTTCTCTCCGCCACTTCTAAGTTTTTTTTTATCTCTTTCCATTTCTCCATTAATACTTCACCCTTCTTTCCCTCTATTCCATTCAAGCCCGCTTTCTCGACCTTTTCCTCCAGCCTTCTCAACCCTTTCTCAATCGAGTTTCTTTGCTTTCCCCATTCCTTCTCCCTTTTTTTAAATTCCTCCTTCAACCCTTCCATTATATTTTGTATTTCCTCTTTGTCTTTTTTTCTTTCCTTTTCCTGCTCCTCCATTTTCCTTAGAATTTCCTTAAACATTTCTTCCGCCGTTATGCTCTCTTTCCTTTCTCTATCTTTTATGATCTTAGTTGGCGGCAATCTGCTCATCTTCTTTAGTTCGTTAAATTTCTCCAGTATATCCTCTTCTAATTTTGCTGTTAACTTCTCCTCGATTTCTCCTCTTTTCCTTTTCTGTATACAAGTTACTATCGAGCCTGCGCTCCCTCTCCTTATGTCTAGCCCCTCCGTTTTCATTGGCCTGCTCACTGTCACTCTTTCACGTTCTACCTCCATCTGCCACCTTCGTAACCCTCTTTCCCCTATCTCTTGTCCGCTATTCGTTATCCAGCTTTTCCTATCCTTTCCAATATCCCTAGCCCGCCTCTTTCACCGTGCTGCTCTCTTTCTATATTCCGCGTGTTCCCTGCTCGTGGCCGTTATCCTCACACCGCTTTCCCTCTCTTCACTTCACGTACTCTCTGCCAGTCCTATTTTCACTCACTGTTTCAGCACCCTTTTTCTCCTCTATTCTGTCCTTTCACGGGTTCCCTCCACTATCTCGCTAACTCTCGCTCCTCCACTTTCTCCTCCCTCCCGCGCCTCTCCGCCAGACCCCTCCTAGCCCTCCTAATCTGCCAAAATGCACTCGCCTAACCCCCACGTGCCACACTGTTTCGACCCGGAACCGGAAGTCCCGTAATTTGTGGTACTATTTCGTAGATATTTCTACAAAAAAAATAACTATTTTTACAAAAAATTAAATATTTTAACAAAAATGTACAAATTTATATTTCTAGTTAAATTTTGTAATTATTCATAGAAATTTTTTCCGTCAGGGTGACGGAGGTGCTAATTCGTGCATTTTCTGTATATTTTAAAAGGTTCTTGGCGCAACACCGATCTCTACTTCCATTTAATATCGGACATGACAATTTCCGACGTTAAGCATGGCTAATACCAGGATCATACAGAGGATTGCCCCTTTTAAAATATACAGAAAATGCACGAAATTAGCATTTCCGTCAGGAGAGGTTCACTGGCGCACAGTACAATTGCGCACGTTGCAATTGCACACAGTACTATTGGACACATAAAGTCGCGCGTCGTACAATCACGCACCGTACAATCGCGCACAGTTCGTTTGGACACATTTTATTGGCGCACAGTACAATTGGACACCGTTGTTTTTGGACACAACACATATTATTAACTTATTTAAATAAATAAACGTATGTTGCATTGGACACGGTTTTTGCGCACCGTACAATTGCGCACCGTACAATCGCGCACCGTACAATCGCGCACCGTACAATTGCGCACCATACAATCGCGCACCGTTCAATCGCGCACCGTATGTACAATCGCGCACCGTACATGTACAATCGCGCACCGTACAATCGCGCACCGTTCAATCGCGCACC